CGCGAGGCACGGGCTCTGCGCCCCGGCCCTCCTGCAGCCCGGGACCCGGGACGTGTCCTTCACAGAGCCACTGCAGCCTCGGGGGGAAGTACCCAATGTGCCATTAATACGTTTTAAGTTATTGTACTTTTTTTTTTTCCCCCCTCCACTGTACTGCTAGAGATTTGTGCATGGCAAGAGAGGAATTCCTAACCAGTTACTTGGAATTAGAGGAGAACGCTTCAGATGCAAAACCACAAACAGTGCGTGTACACTTAGAAAAATACAGTCTCAGGAACAGCAACAGACAGCAAGGGAACAATTTGCTAAAGCTTGAGGCCCTTATTTAGCCTGCACAGAAACCCAGCTAAAATCAACAAGGCTAAATCTAGCTGCATTATGGAATAATTTATACGCCTGAAGCCACGCAAGCAAACACAGGAAATATCACCATATTGCAGATTTAAATGCACCCTTAAATGTACGCAGAACAAGTTGTCCCTCCATCGCTTTGCCCCTCTGTGGCTGAAAGCAGAGAAGTTCCATGTTCAGTGAACGTTGTTCTAGCGTTACACAGCTGACTACCACGTCTGAGTGTGCCAGCAGAGCGCAGGCGAAGCCAAATGAGCAGGACACAACGGGGAAGAAACTGTGAAGAATACATCACCGCTACAGAGCTAAGTACAGAGTAACGCTATTTAAAACCTGATCTACAAGCACAAGAAAGCAGGGTCAGGAAATAATCTGTAAAAATTGATTTACTGTAGCCATTTCTGTACTAAATTACTGCAACAGGATGCAAGTCCTGCCAGCTTTAACTCTGACAAGAACGTCTGCTTCTAAACTAACCATAAAGATGGTTAAACGGTTCCACGGAGAGAGAAAACACTTTAGAATTTAAGACAGGTTAAAATATTGTGCCTTCCCATGGTCAAGTTAAGCAGGAATCTGTTCTCTGTTGAAAACAAAAAAAAACCTACCACCAAACAAACAAACAAAAAAACCCATCAAAAAATCCCCCAAACCCACCAAAAAAACCCAGACAAAATTGTATCATTAAACTACAGCTCTCCCTCTGATATTTTTCTTATTTTTTGTCTCTTCTCATCTGTTACCCTGGCAGGGCAGAAGCAGGTTTAATAACCAGCACAAGCACTGGTCTCTTGCACAAACAGAGGGGATTCAGTGTAAAAAATGAAACAAACAGCAACAACAAAACCAGAAAAAAAAATCACTAGTTTGCACTGAATCCCACTTGCCTGCACGGGGCAGAGGGGCCACCCAAAGGAGCAGAGGAGTCTTTGTAAGAGATCACTTCAAAATCACAGCGCTGGGTGGCAGGGGAAGGCAGCAAAGGCTGCAGGGAGCAGGCAGGAACACGCGAGTGCTTGTGGGGAGGGGGATGAAGGAGGGGAGTGAATGTGAGCAGCACTGAAACGCTGGACAATTTGAGAATCACAGCACACAAATAAAACACAGAAAATGCAGTTTTTGCTCAGTTAAAACACTTTTTAGCAGTAAGGGCCACTTTGGTTGACAACTGTAGAAGTGTAAAAAAACTGCAGCCATAAAGTATTTTAGAAATGCCACATTAAATATAAACTGCTGTGGCTACATCACTTGCCAGTTAATGTCACTCTGCACTGGACAGCAAACCTTGAAGAATGAGGTACAGAGAGAGTAAATGTGTACAAACTTCTCTGCTACGGGAGGAGGCAGCGGACTTGGGAGAGCCAACCCCCCCCAGAATGCAGGCGCATTTTAAATAAAGCCACCGTCCAGCCACTAAGGGTGCAGGGGAGGAGGGAACGTCCTGAGTAATGGGAAGACGCCAGTGCTGGTGTCACTGGGTGTGCTGGCGAGCCAAGGCAGCCTGGTTGAGCCCAGCTTGCCAGCAGAGAGCCTGCCCTGGAGCAGCCCAGCTGCGCCCGAGCCAGGCTGCGGCTCCTGGGGGGTCCAAGCCCGCAGAGGCGCACAGGTCATACAGCGCCCAGAACCTCAAAAAAGGGAGAAAGCAGTACCAGACCTGAAGCTGAGAAAATTCTGTATCTCTGCAGCCCTCAGGAGTGCTTGCCATTCTTCACAGGGGCACGCAGCAGGTAATAAGCTGCCTTTTTTTTTTTTCCTCTTAGAATCACTTCTTACAAGTGAGCGACTTAACACACCCAGATTCATACACTGCAAGCCCAGGTTCTAACAAAGCGCAGAACTGGCAAAATAATTAATCGATTTACATGAAACTCTGAGTAATTCAGATTATTCTCAGGGAATGTGCCAACAAATATGGGGCAAGGAGGGGTGACATCTCACAAGCAAAGCACGATCAGCTTTCACTGCAGCAGTCACAACTGCCGTGCTGTTCTTCAAAACCAGCATCGTCAGAACTGCATGGAGCGTCTTGCGCCAAGCAGGGCAGTGAAACCGAGCCTGCCCTCCCTGTGACAGCCAGCAGCCCGACGGGACACGGCGGGCACGCACCCCCAGCACTGCTGGCTCTCAGGGGGTCCCTTCAGAGACGTGCTGCTCCTTATTTCCACCCGAGGCCTCCCATGGAAACCGCACGACTACGCATCGCACACCCAGTGCGGGAGACAGAAACACTCTGCTCTGCTCTTGTTTGTGTCCAGCAGACACGGGGGGAGCACGAAGCAGGTAAGCAGCAAGCGCATAAACGGAGAGGTGCTCAGGAGGCAACCTGCTTCCACCTCCGTCTCGCCCAGCCTGGCAGTGAGTTTCCTCCAACGTCAGTACTTAACAGAGACGGAGTTTCAAAGAGGAAGTTTCAGCCCAAACAGAGAACTTCTAGATTTGATTTTATTAAATGGGGGCAGGGGAAGCACAGACACTAAAAACTCACTTTTGTGTGTGTATTTTAGTACAAAGGAAAAGAAGGTGAATTTAAAAGCAAAACAAAGTGAAACTTGCATCTTACTTACGATAATCAGTGTGGATCTCATCTATTTCTTCCTCTGTCTGGTCCTTTGTGAAGATCAAGCTCTACAGAAATCACACAAATGTTTATTTACAGAAACAGAAAGATGATAAAAGCTACATATTTTAAAACTAGAGACTTAAAACTGAGAGAAGGATGATCTGGTTTTCCCCCCATCAGCTCTTGCCCCCAGACAGTAATATATATTCAAAGTACGTACACATGCCGTCTTGCTTTGCTTTCACAAAGCCAGCAGGACTAAGCCAAGCCACCCCATATAACACCCAGCATGTGTGGACCATAAAACATTTCCCAATACTGTGCAACACACACACTCCGAAAGTCACACAAGCATCATATGTCATGGGAAAAGAACCGGCGCTATTGCTGATACGGAAGCAAGGAATTTGCTAGCTAAATCCTAGAGAATTCTAGGAAGCAAAATATTCCCCACACTGCCATGGAGGGTCAAAATCCTCCAACATGACCAAGGGGAACATTTCTCAAGAATTTTTATTGCAGTCAAAAAAATGCTCCTACTTCAATGGTTTGGACATAGAAACATCAGCAGTACACGAAGAACTGCCCAATGCAAATGAGTGGTATAAGAAAATCATCTTGATTGTAAGATGGTACACGCGAATTCCAACATGCAGTCTGGGAATTCCCATAGTAAAGTGACAGGCACACGTGTTCAGTGTCCACCCGACAACTTCTCCTAGCCACCCCCCTCTGAGAACAGAGATAATTAGCTTACATTTTCACCAGTTTTGTTACATTCAAGTTGAACCCGAATCTTCTCATTCTTTTCCAGCTCTTTAACGACCTCTGCAACTGTTTGAAAACACAAGGAAGGGATCACTGAAAGAGGAGCTGTTAAAGAAAAAGATGTAACGGCACTGAATGAAACTACCATGAATTTAAAGCGCAAAGCGACAAACCGGTGTCAGCCCTCCAACAGCGCAACGCAGACTCCAGCCGCGGGCGAACCCAGGCGGTGTGGCTTCCCACCAGGTGTGGCTTCCCACCAGGTGTGGCTTCCCACCAGGTGTGGCTTCCCACCAGCGCTCGGCGGGCGCCCGCGCTCGCGGAGGAACC